ACTTAGAATGCCTCATACTCTGGAAGGGCTAAGTAAATGCCTTCATCTATGCTTTTGTTGCTTCGACTGAAATAACAGCATTATTATTATTACAGGATGTTTATGCCTGGGAAATTCTTAATATCTGTTGATTTTCTTTGCGTTATACGCCAAAATAAGATCATAATTGATGCACTTAAAATCCACATATATTTGAAGAGACATTAAAAAACTAGAGTTCTTATCTGCTTACGGCACTTTAATTAGTAAAGATGAAAGAATTCCAATTAGTTAAAAATTACTCAGAAAATATTTTAAGTATATGAAAAGTAAATAGGCCTGGGATTTGTGATTCATAAAGAGATCTCTAATGAAAATACAAAATCTTGCACACGATGAAGGTCACCTTTCTTTAGCTAAGAATCACACTTAAGAGCTGCATGACCGTTGACGTTTAGAGCCCATACCCTTGGCCATGGGCTGTGAATTCTAAAATCAAAATGTGACTTCCTTTCGGAGATGTTCCACAGAGAAAGAGTAGCAAAACATTAAAAGAAACGAAACACAGTCTATTTTTTTTCTGGGGCTCCAACAATGTTATCAAAGATTTTTTTTTTCTCAAATTTTACAAGCTCTCCAGCACCTTTCCCGCCCTGCTACTCCTGTATTATATAATTAGCGTATAATTATGTGCTCTTTCACACTGGAAAGACTATTCTTTTATTAATGACTCTTTGAAAAGTTCTTTATTATTTATCTTTGAAAGTGAGTTTGAAATCAAAAGGCTCTCATGGCTTTTCCTTCCTTTCTTTTTAATTTAGGAGTTCTTAAAAGTAATACAACAGATATACAATAGATAATTACAGAGGTCACAGGCAGTCGTAAGTTTTCACCTTTAAGGTAAGAAATAGGGTTCAGGAAACCAGTGATGCATTCTCCTTTCTCTCCAGACTAAACATTTGGGGTAATGAAGAACATGTATGCAAAATATTGATGTTCCAACAAGGGTTGTCTATTCTTTGCCTTTTCTCCCTTGTTGGGACGTACAGAAAATGGGTCAGAAGCAGCAGCTACCTGAATATAGTACAAAGACAGAAAAGGGCGATATAATTCACATTTATAGTAGGGAGTACAATGTAAGCTCCAAATTAGTCTTAAATGAGAAATTCACCCAGCCCATGATCTGTAGTCAGTTCTGGAAAGTACCACCCCATCTCTGCTGAGGCTAAGCAAATCTCATTGCTGGTTTTGGCTGACTGCTCTTTTTTCCTAACATTCGGCTAACCAGAGCACTCCAGATTGAATATGGGCAATTGAAAGGAAGGGTGTACATTATTGCAAATTTTAATCATTTCTCGAGCCGTTCTGCTTGCAGTGATAATCCCACAAGACCAACATATCTTGTGTAAGAAACTCAAATGGCTTTTGGCTGCAAGCAGCTCTTGGGTTACTTTGTAACCTATGCATGCTTACCTTCTGGACTTTTCTCATTTGTGGCTGGGGCCTGCCAATCAGGGCTTCAGGGCTGCGTGGCTCCCCACAGCCATGGCTAAGTCATTTAAGACCAGCAAATGAACAAGAAGGCCAATGAATCAAATAATAATCGGAATCCTTCTCAGTTACACAGCTGCTAGTTATCTATGGCAGGGACTACCTCTGTCCAACACTTGTACTGCGTGCAAAGTAATACTGTGCCAGAGCTATTTGAAAAATTTGTATCTCCTATACTTTTTGTACTATTTCCAGGGAAATAGCAGAACAGTAATAACCTGATGACTTGGAAACTTTTTTTTTGAGGCTTCAGGGAAATGTACCCAAATTGTCTTGTAAGCCAAAAAACATTCAAAATTGCACATCATTTTGCCTAGCCATTCGGAATACCATGATAGCCCTTTAGCTAGAAATGTTTACATAGCTTCATGCTCACCAGAAATTGTTTTCTTGTGAAGAAAAACAAAAGATAATAATTTACTTTGATTGCTCTCAAAAATCCATCTTTCAGGATCAGTGTTTTACATATGATAATTTTTCCTCTTTATTTTTTTTTTGGGGGGGGGGAGTGTTGGTGCCCAAACCAGGGAATAAATATTTTGCCTTTTTAAATGAAAATCAGAGACTTAAGAGTTGGAAGGAATCTTAGAAGTGATTTAAGAAACACCTCCAGTTGGGACGCCTGGGTGGCTCAGTGGTTGAGCATCTGCCTTCAGCTCAGGGTGTGATCCCAGGGTCCTGGGATCGAGTCCCACTTGGGGCTTCCTGCATGGAGCCTGTTTCTGTCTCTGCCTCTCTCTCTCTTTCCATCTTTTATGAATAAATAAAATCTTAAAAAAAAAAAAAAACCTCCAGTTGCATGAGTCCTCTGAGTCCTCTACAGTATCTTCAATGGGGCTCTTCTTCAGGGCAAGAGAGATGAAATAAAAATAGGAAGTACAACCCACTATATGTGGCCTAATACCTTATAACTAATAAAACACCCTGAAGGATCTAGATATAGTCTTCCTCACTCCCAAGTTCTCAGCCTCTCAATACATCTTGTTTAATTACATGATGAAAACCGGTTAAATGTGAAGAATTACAGAGGCTGAACTTTGGACCGCTGAGAATATGGCACAGCAGGGAGTGAAGCAGCACTTCTCAATTTACTATGGGAATTTAGGTCACATGGTCTTGACCTTTTCATTTCAATGATCCAGAAAGTTAACGATAATTTTAAAGGTCTGCCTAATATGAATGGAAGGATAGGAAACTTTCCTCACTATTACTTAAGAATAAGTTAAATTATCTAGTTTAAACTACAGGTGAAGAGAGTAGGTTCTGGAATGGGAGGGCTTGGTTTGAACCCTGGCTTCCCTGTTCATTAGCTGTATGACCTTGGGAAGTCACTGAAGGTTTTGAAACTTTGGTTTACTCATCTGTAAAAAGGAGATAATATTATTATCTTCCTCACTGGGCTGTTAAGAGGATTAAATGAGCTCATTCACATGAAGTACTTTGTTCAGTTTATGGCATATGTTTTAAGTATCCAATAAATGTTAGCTTCCTCATGTCCACTGAAGTAATAAAAAAAAAAACAGTTTGGTCATAGAGTGCTATTTTTTTTTTAATTTGTCTCAGGATCTCAAATCTTCAGGGAAGTTCCATGAGTACTATTTTGGACTAAGAACTAATAGTGTTAGGCAGGAAATATTTTCAAGCTATGAATAACTTGTAAGGAAATTTTATATTGCCAGGACGTTTTTAACAAATCAATATGGTTTATATCCTGTGCTGACTGAATAATACAGTTATTCTAATTAACTGATCATGTACTCCCTAGATTTTAGAAAAGTATGTCAACATTTAGCCAACAAAGAGTCATGAATAATTTGACAAAATACAAGGATATTATTTATGCTATTAGAAACTTAAGTTACTCCTGTTACTTAGTTACTTTTGTGTGTTACTTCAGTTCAGCCAATGAAGTAAACATGTTATTCAACAGATTTAATTATTTGATGAGATTTAAAAATAATCCACTTGAATATGTCCAGATAAGGTCATTTTTTTAAACTGCTATAATTAAACAAAATGGTAAATTAACCAGTCTCTAGTTTTATGTTACTTTTTATAAAGCATCAATTTATAATTCTGTTCTAGTCCCCAATTATCCAATTCTTTTAATTTATTTTTCTTAACATTTTAAAAATTTAAATTCAATTTAGATCACACCCAGTTGTTATATAGCATAACAACCAGTGCTCAACCCATCAGGTGCCCTCCTCAGTGCCCATCACCGAGTCACCCCATCCCCCCACCTACCTCCCCTTCTGCAACCCTTTGTTCGTTTCCCAGAGTTAGGAGTCTCTCATGGTTTGTCTCCCTCTCTAATTTTTCCCAATTATCCAATTCTAATCAATAGTCTGCTTTCCCCTCAAAGCAAATAGCAAAACAAGACAGAACTTTCACTTGCCGATTCTACAAAAAATCTAAATTCTTCTCGTCCGGAATATCCATGGAGCTAATTAGGAAATCAAAGAGTAAAGCTAACCATTTTCCACTTCTCTCCCATGTCCCTGAAGTCAATCACAGCACGCTGAAATATATCATTGTCTGAAGACTCTTTTCATATTGACCCTGAAATTTACAAAGTCCTCTCAGCAACTCATTACAAAGTTAACCATTAGAAACCCATTCACTGACTCAGAAATCAGGGAGATTGAAATAATGACTTTCATAAAAATGAAAGACTCTTAGTTGGGAAATTGTATTGAGTCATATACAAAATAAATTCTCCCCCCCCACCAGAATGTATTCAAGTTACCCTCCATGAGAAGAATAAGGGGTTGGGGTCAACTTCTCAGCATTTAACGTACATCCTTGGGGTGGGGGGTTCACATTACTGGCAGTATCTCATGAAGGAACGCACAACATTAATTTATTAAATAACAGGACAGCTGATGGCAATCCATAGAAGATGCTCTTCTGAGTAAAAGTAAAATGTGCTGTGAAAAAAATGAATTAGGAAGAAAATGGGCAGTGGGGGGGAGAGTGTAGTATGGAGAACAGTACTCTTCATTCTCCAACCGTCACTTCCTGACACACATGTTCATGCTTTTTTTTTTAATAAATTAATTTTTATTGGTGTTCAATTTACCAACATACAGAATAGCACCCAGTGCTCATCCTGTCAAGTGTCCCCTCAGTGCCCATCACCCATTCACGCCCACCCCCCGCCCTCCTCCGCTACCACCACCCCTAGTTCGTTTCCCAGAGTTAGGAGTCTTTATGTTCTGTCTCCCTTTCTGATATTTCCCACACATTTCTTCTCCCTTCCCTTATATTCCCTTTCACCATTATTCATATTCCCCAAATGAATGAGAACATACACTGTTTGTCCTTCTCCGATTGACTTACTTCACTCAGCATAATACCCTCCAGTTCCATCCACGCTGAAGCAAATGGTGGGTATTTGTCGTTTCTAATATGCCCATGCTCTCTAAGTTCAAAGACCTCCTGTTTTCCCAAGCTGGCCATCCACTTACCCTGGTTGTTTTCACTTTATTTCCAGAGGAACAGCTCCATCCTTTCCGGTCTGGGAGAACTTTACACTCCTCTCCCTCAAGACATGGCTGCATATGGCACCACCATTTCTGTTCCACTATTGAAGCTACAGGAGATTTAAAAAAAAAAATCCATTCAGTGTTTTTCTATTTGAGCTCGTTAATTCCCTGGGTGCACACTGGAAGAAGAACAAAGGGCACCGATTTTTCCCACCACTGGGTAGACTGGGTTTGGAAGCATGCTTCTCTTTTTTATCCAAAGGGGCTAAATCTTTCTAGATTTTCCGACTAAAAGGATTTTTATTTTATATTTTAGTGTATTGTTGTAAGGACACCCAACACGAGCTCTAGCCTCTTAACAAATAGTATTGTTAATTAGAGGCACATGTGGAAGGATTTTTCATGTGAACATACAGGCTTCATGAAAACTAACAGATTGGAAAGAAACTTATATAGACATATGCATGCACTGATTTACCTAAACATATAAAAAATGAACCTATTACCAGTTTAGAGTCAATATTTTAGAATCAATGTAATGCTTCCCACAAGTAGGCTAAAATTAGGAGGATATTAGAGTTAATGTAATTTTTTTTTTTTTTTTACTGTGGGCAGTAACCACCATCACAAGGAATGAACCATGCTAATACGAGTCCTTAAATTATTATTTATGGTAACAGTAATTGAATAGACCCATACAAAGATGTATGTCCTATTGTAATTAGGTGAACCCTCCAATAAAGTAATTAATATTTTGATGGATCTCCATAAAAATCAATATTTCATGTGAATTCACTATACAACTACAAATTCTCTCATTTGTATGGTGCTTAATTTTTTTTCATTCTTAAGAACCAACCGTGTGTTTAGGTAACCATACTATTTAATCCACTATTTTCATCTCTCCTTTCCCAATTAATTTACATACACATGCCCTCCCCCGGCAAATCAGTATTTCATGGCATCAAGGAAAGAAGCACATGGACTTGTTGGAACCTCATTGTAATGCCTATTGTTACAAAACTGCATGAGGTCTTAGACCTCCTTCCAAAGGACTTTGGAAGGAGGTTTCAGAATGCAGCCCCCACCCCCACCCCCGACTAATCTCTCATCAACCACAGGATTAGGGCATGGGCCCTTAAGCATTGACCATAGTCAACAACATGATAGTGGAATTCCAATTCTAACCCATCCTCAGCTACATGACCACCATGAGCAATGGAAGAAGTCATACCATCCACACAAGATGGAGCAGCTCGTGTGGTGCCTGCCACCTGCCCCGGGAAGCAGGAGCACTTGACCGTCTGTGACCGCTCTTCTATCTTGTTCTTATTACAGCATCTGTGGAGTGCCACCACCTCGCAAGTGCCCGTTTTGACATGATGAGCTGCACAAACAAAAAGATGAGATGAGACAACATAGAGAAAGCTTTGGGTTCTCCCCACCTCTTTAATTAGAAGTACATTAAATATAGTGCTATAAGGGATCCACCATGCGTGAAACTAGAAATACAATGATGCTAACTCCATGATGCAGATTTGATTTCTTTTCTAAATGTGCAAGGACCATTTCTGTCAGTAAATGCTTGGTGAAGCAAGAACAATTAGTGACCGGATGAGAATGAGCTGTTAGAACAGTGTGAAATAGAGAAACAATATGTGGTGCCATCAAAACCATACTTATTTGCATATGACTTTTTTGTCCAACATGTTACAGAAAGGTGGCCCCCTTGACAAGGTGTCCAGCAATGGCGCCAAGAGCAGACCTAGTCTCCAAGAGGTGGGCTGGGGGAGGGCTAAGGTTTTGTTGTTCTTTTAGGTGTGACTACAAAGGCCAGACAGGGAACCCCTTTTCAGGAAACAAGGAGGCAACCCACATTACTCCACTCATCCCCATTCTATTCCTTGGTAATAACTAATGGAGAATTCTTGAAATTGCTGCCATTTTCCTGAAAGTCCCTGCCAGTTGCAGTCCCGAAAACCATTTCTTTCTGTTTGGCCTGAGGGAGCAACTGCCACCAATAGCAACAACTGTAGCCAGAATGAGAGTGGATTTCCATCTAGCCTGGGAGCCCCATGCAATAAGCTGTGAGGTTCCCCTACCAAGCCTGTTAACCTGGCAGTAAGTCTCCTGAATGGTTTAGGTGCTTGAGATTTGTGGCCCTCACTTATCACATTACAATAGGGTTCTACTTTGCCTTCACTTCTTTTTTTTTTTTTTGTAGCGTTTCATCTTCAAAGTATTAACCCTACTGTGAAATGAAAAAGCCAAAGTCTTATCTGCTAAAATAAAAAGTTTAAAATCAAACATCTGTTAAAACACTATGCTTTCAGAAATTAAAAAAAAATGATCTAAAAACCAAGATCCGAAGTTGTTTAATGTTACAAACATATCGAGGTCCCTTTTGTAAATGAGATCAGTAGATCACGTATTCATATTAGTCTTCCCCTTGGGGATGATGAGTATCACTGTGCAGTAACTCAGGTTAGAGAGCTTGCTTGGATTTTTCTTATAAGAGAGAACAACTCACACATATTGTCCATCCCTCCATATGAGGCCAAGAAACTAAGTCATATGACATACGGCTTTGACATATGATCCTCAAAAGAACTTTCAATAAGCAGCCAGCATTGCCAATGCCACAAAGACTTTCCTGCCACTGTAGATACAAATGGGGATTTCTCTGTTTGATTCGAACACGAGGCTATCTCTGTGAAAGTTCAAAACTTGAGAGCCAGACATTTTTCCTCTTGTGCTCTAGAAAATATTTTCTTAGCTAACGATGATTCAGTTTGGTTTAATTTACTGAACGCTCCACATTATGTCATACAAGTCAATATGCTGACTTTCAGTACTGTACTTAATCACGTTTTAATTGAGTCAATGCCACACATCAGGTATGGTTCTGAGTACTGAGGATGTAACAGTGCAAAGGAGGGACATAGAGCCTGCCCTCAGAGAGCTCATATTCCTGTGTAGGAAAAAAAAATTATAAATACCTGTTAAGGAGTAAGGCAATACTAGATTTTTAGCCTCCTTGAAGGAACTGCAGGTGAGAGTAATCAAACAGGCAGAGAAAGTGTATTTTTGTGACTGTCGAAGAGGACCTCTGTGAGGTAACTGAATGTGACCTGAGTGATGAGAAGGAAACATCTATTATGAGGATATGAGAAAGGGAAGAGCATGACAAAGAGAAGGAGCAGGAAAGGACAGGGAACCGAAACGGGGATATGTGCGGTGTGTTTCCAGGACAGCGAGATCATGAGCGTGGCCACAGTGTGACTGAACAATTGAGAGGTCTAGGGAATTGTGTCAGAAATGTGGGAAGATGGAGCAGGGGCTGGTATGCTGTAATAAAGGGACTGGATTTTACTCTTGTCACAAGGGAAACACTCTGGGTGGATACGCTATCATCTCATTAAATGCTTTCGAAGTTTGCTCAGCCTGTTCTTTAAAGACTGGATTAAAAAAATAAAGAATGGATTGAAGAAACCAGAGCGGGATGAGAGAGACCAGTTATGAAGACGTTGCAAGAGCCCAGGGGATAAAGGATGGGACTTAGGCTATCCTCACAGCAGCAGAGTTGGGGAGAAGTAGCAGATTAGGAGCATTCCCCTGTAGAGCTCGTTTGACTTGCTGTTGAACATGAGTTCTGGGGGAGGAAGGAATTAGGATTACTCCTCAGCTTGTTCTGAGCAATTGGAAGAAGCTGGTGCTTCTGCAAACTGGTGTTAGCCAAAGGGGAGGTGGGTGGAGGTGCGGATAAAATAGGTGAAGAGCACATTGATCATGATGAGCACTGAGTAATGTGTAGAACTTATTATATTGTACATCTGAAATCATAGCACTGTTAATTGTACATGAACTCCTGTGTGTGTGTGTGTGTGTGTGTGTGTGTGTGTGTGTGTGTGTGTGTGTAGAGAAGGCCTGGGAACAGGGCGTTTGACAAAAGCTAGGTTGGGATAAAATATCAGTAGTTCTGTGTTGTCAGCGTTCAATTTGAGACTATTATAAGGAACCCGAGCAGAGATGTAATTCAGGCAGTGACATTTATGAAGTGGAGTTTAAGGAAGAGATTTGGGCTGCAGATACACATGTAAGAAACCTAGGCTGATAGGTGATATGTAAAGCCACATACTAAAGCAAATTACCATGGAGAGCTTGCCAATAGACAAGAAGGAAAAGAATCATCCAGAACCTCAATCTGAAATGGAGGAAATAGCAATAGAAACTGGCAAGGCCCAAGAGGTGAGGTAAGATAAAAAAAAGAACGAGATGAAAACATGGAAAACGAAAGAACAAAATGTCTCAAGAAGGAAGGATCAATCAGCTGTGTCAAGTGCTACTGAAAGGTTTAATAAATGGAGAGAAATAACTCTGCATTAAAAAAGTAACATCATACACTAATTAAGAGCCTTTAAAACCAGAGTACCTGGGTTCAAATCTGAGCTCCTCCTAACAGCTCTGTGACCTTGGGCAAGTTATTCAGTATTTCTAAGTAGCATTTTTTTCCTTTTTAAAAGGGGGACACTGGGGTGTCCGGGTGTCCGGGTGGCTCAGTCAGTTAAGTGTCTGCCTTCAGCTCAGGTCATGATCCCAGGGTCCTGGGATTGAGCCCCACATTGGGCTCCCTGCTCAGCCAGGAATCCGCTTCTCCCTCTCCCTCTGCTGCTCCCCCTGCTTGTGCTCTCTCCCCTCCTCTGTCAATAAAATCTTTAAAAAAATAAAATGAAGATATTGATAGCATCATCTTTACATCTTTAGAGGGTTGGTTTAAGGATGAAATGAGTTAATGGGTATAAAGTCTTTAGAGCACTACCTGCCTCATAGTAGGCCCTCTGTGTTAGCTACTGTTAGCATTTGATTGCAGTAAAAATCATTTCAGGGGCATGATGAAAATAAAAGCATGATTAAGGTATGTTTACTGGAGAATGGGGTGTAAAACTGTGCAATTATACAAATTTCTTCCAAGAAGCTTTTCTGTTAAGGGAAGAAGGAAGTGAGCAAGAGCCAGAATGAAGCATGGTGTCAAGGGAATCTTTTTTAACGAATGCCACAAAGGCATGCTCACTTGCTGGAATGATCTAGTAGAGAAATATACAATACAGGGAAGAAAATGGGTAATTACAGAACAGTGTTCTTGAGAAGGAAAAAGGAATTGAGATTCAGGGCACTTGGGGGGTTGACAATAAATTGATGCAGAAAAACTGAATCCATTTTAACAAGGGTGAAAGTGGGATGTGTAGCTACAGAGGCAGGTAGGTGTGAGTGGATTCGGTGGTGGGGAGATGACATAGCTTCTTATCTGATTTCACCTAATTTTCCTATGAAATATGAGAGATGTTTGAAAAGAAAAAAGAGGATATAAAATACATAGCTCAGAAAGAGGCAGAGTAAATTTACTGGGAAGGAGTAGTAGGATGGCCCGCAGGGATTGGCTAGTGCATGCTGCAAACTGCAGAGGACACGGCAGGATGGAAGAAGGTGTGGGACTTCAGAGCAGAATGGAGATGGACATCTCTGTGATGATTACTTGGGATGCTTGGGCTTCTGCTAGTGATAGAGGGGAAGAAAGATGTAGGGCATGAGGTCAGTCCAACAAGCGCTTGGATGGAAACCAGGCTGGAGAGAAGGGATTATTAGGGCCCCTTCAGAGAGTGATGTTGTTCAGCCCAGCGCTGAGCTGAGACAGCCCCGGGGACAGCCCAAGAGGGTGAGGGCTCTCTTCTCTTCCATAAGGACGACAGTGTCCAGGAGTGCAGAGTCATACTCCACTGACCTCTCCCCTGGGAGGAGAGGCATGATTTCAGCACCCACAAAGGCCATTTTACTATTTGTTATAAGTTGATTTTATCATGCATTGGGAAGGAATGGACAGGCAAAAACTCTGCATCTGGTTTTCCCTTCCCAATGCCAATATCAAAATTCATTTCTACCTCTCCTGACAAGTAGAAAAGGATAAAGTAGTTGTGGTGGTCATTAGTAAACATTAGTGCTGGTTGCCAAATACTTCTGGCTCCCTCCCTTCTGGACACATACTATACTTCTCTACCTCATTAGGCTGAGATGTGGTGATGTGACTTGCTTTGGCCCAATGAAATGAAAGCTAAGGTAACAGAAGTCACTTATGAGCAAAAGCAGAGGCTATCAATCTGGGTGGCCGCGTTAAGAACTGGTATGTAATTCACCATCAGTTTTTTACCAGCCCAAGCAACCAAATATGTTCTTAAGAGTGGAAACTATATTGACCTAAGTCTCCAAGTGAAGAGACATGAAGCAGAGTTCCCACCAACCACGACGGACCTACAGGTGAGGAACAAGCCTTAAGCTGTTACGGTCTCTAAAATTTTGAGGTGGTTTTTGTTGCTGCTTTAACCCACCCTGAGG